AGTTGTACCCACCCAATTGTCTTAAACCACTTTTCATTTCTAATGAAAAATATTCCAATTGTTTTTAGTTGTATAATTACAACAAAAACACTACTTCAGCAAAATTGACACTGCATTGCATAATCACAGAAATTCATAATACATGTTAATTTTAGCAAAAAAGTTATAATAAGAGATAAAACTACATTATTTTCTTACTCGTTGTTATCTTCACCATTCATGTCTTCAGGTAAATCATCTTCATTAACCAATTTTCCCTCTAGAACATCTTTATCAATGTGGACTTCTCTTAAATCAATATCCGGAGCGATGACTTTAACTTGACGCAGTGCCTTCTGGAATTCCCTTTTATGCTCTATTACCACTTGGAACTTGGTAGTTTCTATTTCTTTACTCAAATTTTTATTATTATTTTCTCTGCCTCCAATTTTCTTTACATTGGTGGCAATGACTTCTTGACATGCTTTGTTCTTCTCATGAAGACCTTGAATCTCAACATGCAAACTTCGAATACTTCCCTCATATTCTTTTGTTTTCTTCTCTAACTTCATATAGTTTTCTGTTTGAATCTCCTTTTCTTTTTCCAAGAGATTTACCTTTTTTAAGAGATCTTCTACTTTCGATGCATAAGACTTCCAGATTCCTTCACTTTCGGCCTCAATCTTCTCTTTGCCCAGCTACATTCATTGGAAGTCTTGATTTCATCATCTCAGGATTATAAAGGTAAATCTAAACTCTCACTTTTGTCTTTGATTTTATAGGAAGGTAATAAAACTATGTAGATACGTTTACCTGCCAACCTTTAGTTTAAAATGGGCCACTTTATACCTGCCCAAGTCTTTTGATCTAATTCTAAACATTTTATTTGTAATAAATAGTGTGATAAATAGATGTGATATGTACCATTATTTGAAGTAATTCTATGGGTAGTGGTTGTTTAATTTCTAGATATTAATTTAGACAACTTTTTCACCCTTTATATTTGTCAGGCACCGCTCATAAAACATTTCCTTTGAAATTAGTTTATTATCTTATTCCAACTTTAGTAAATAGCTGGTCACCCATATAATTTTAAGCTGTTTGATTTATTCAGATAAAACGTAAAAAAAAGGAATCTTATATCAGGTGACTTTATTGATTATAACTTTGTAGATCTTGTATTAGCTGGTGAATGTTTTTGCTTAATGGAATCTTGTGGTTTAATTGAGTTTGTTTTGGTAGGTGTGAAACTTATTTATTTGAATTATTTTATTCCTTGTCAGCTTCCTGGAGAACGAAAAGCTCAGAAGCCTTGCAGAATTTTCACGATACACAAGTCTACAAGATTCAAGCCAAATGCTTCCTTCTATTTTTCAGTTGCTGAAGGTAAACCTTTTGTTGAATCGGCACATTCAGTGTGGTGGATAACTGGATATAGCATTAGCAGTATGTTTTCTGCTATGTCAACATCAAATTTTTGTGTTTATTTTAATTATGCTGTTATTCCCAAGCACATTGTTGACTAACAGAAGTCTGATGTTAATTATGCTCTGCTTTTTTCAGAAATACATGACTTGGAATAAGACTGGAGAAGAAATGAACTTTACATATGTAGAGTGCTTGCTAATCCTATTAAATTATAATATTAAATGTGTAATTATAATTGGAAATGTTAATCCTGTGAACATGGTTGGCTTGTATTTAACATTCCCATGAGTATTTTTCAAATTTTGAAATAATTAAAATAAAAATAAGAGTTGGTCTCTTTTATCATGTTATTTTGCTTCTGCCACTATATTCACAATTGCAAAGGAATTTGCAGTGCTATTAAGTTCTGTTCATTTTGTTTTCTTTGAAATCTCATTGTTAAAAGGATTTGATTTGTATATTACATGTCTTGGATTTTTGTTGTACATTCTAACATAATTGGATTTGTACTTCACATGGATTTTTGTTTTTGGCAGTGAAAGTCTCACTACACCATCAAACTTATTAGCATTATGTGGTAGTTGGTAACAGGTGCTTCGAGAATTTAATCATGTTAATCCACAAGATGACGAAGAAGGAAAAGTTTTTGCAGATACACGGGTACGTTATCTTTAGTCTCTTTCCCAACATATTAAAGAAGGGAAGCATATTTACCTAACTTATGATTTGGTTGATTTTAATTTAGACTAAGTCTTTCTCTTTCTTCCACTCATGACTGAAGAATTTGCTGCACCTGAATGTTGCTGCATGCCTTCTAAAGTTGGGAGAATGCAAAAAGTCCATTGAGAGTTGCAATAAGGTATGCTTGATGACCTCAGTTATCTTTCATGCATTGGAATAAACAGAGTAGCATCAGTTAATTTAGGTACTTTGAAGTTGAAGTAAACATTTGACGGTAAAACAAATTCATTGATTTTATTTATAATTATGAATGTTAACCCTATGCTGAAGAATGAAGACTTGAAACGTAGTAATGTTCCAACTCTGATATTTCTAGGATGAGGAGGGTGAAGGAGAACGTGGGGTTGCTGATATTTCTAGGATGTATGTGTTTATCTAAGTCAGTTCGTACAAAAACTGACTTAGATGTATGTATACATCTAAGCCGGTTCTTAACAAAAACTGACATAGATGTATGTGTACATCTAAGTCGGTTCTCACTAAAAACTGACTTAGATGTACACATACATCTAAGTCGGTTTTCTGAAAATCGACTTAGATCAACACATACATCTAAGTCAATTTTTACTTAATCGATGTAAATATGTTCATTCATCTAAGTCGCCCTCATCTAAGTCGATTTTAGAACCGATGTAGATATGACAAAATAACCGACTTAGAATACAATTTTTGTATTAGTGTAAGTGTGATGTGCCTCTCTCTCTCTAGTCTCTTGTATATTCAGAACTTATGCATCCTATTCTAATGTTCTCTTTGCCTTTTTGATTCATTACTTGTGCAAAGTCTCTTGTTTTATTTTCTTTTTAACAAATCCATCCATGGCGTACAGCGACACTAAACAAAAAATTAAAAAAATAAACTAAAACAAGTCGCATAATGGAAGATAACAGCACTACATAATAATAATAATAATAATAATAATAATAATAATAATAATAATAATAATAATAATAATAATAATAAATCCCTCCATGAGAGACAGTGACACTATATAATAAAAAATAAAACAAGTCATTCATGAGAAACAACGACACTAATTTAAAAAATAAATAAATGGGCGTCATATTTTAAACCAATATGACTTGTACAAAATTTTAAAAAATAAGTGATGCTAGGGTCGAACTCGTTAATGGTAATTCTGCATGTGGCTCTAACATCACTAATATGACATCATGTGTCCATCTCTAAATGATTTTTTATATATAAAAAAAAAAAATTACGTGATATGGGTGTTCCTAGATCAACATTATACTTTAGCAGATAGTTTAAAAATAATCTCATTCTTGTAAAATATTTTCGTAACAACCCTAGTTGAGTCAACAAGTTGTGGCATAAAGAGTTTAGGAATTAAAAACAGCCACATCATCTGATTGACCATTCTACTCAATTTTTAATCTATTTTTTATCAAATTATTTCTTATTTATTTTTTCATTTCCTTATAACTTATATTTTAGCTTGTGTAATGCATAAGGAAAATATTTATTATATATAACTTAAATTTATAATAAATTATATATATAAATAAATATTATGGTTAAATATATAAGTCATATTAAAAATTATATAAATATAAATTTATGATAAATAATTTATATTATAGTATGATATTATTTTTATTTTTTTATAATTTATTTTTAAAGTATTAAAATTTAATCCATAAATAAGTATGATAAATAAAAATTAAAATTAGATAAATAAAATTAGAAAAAAAAACTTCTAAAAACCATCTCGTAAAAAAATCCTAAAAATATTTTCGCACAAGATAAAAATTCATGTTTAATATACAAGAAATGAGTAAAAGACAGATTTAACCTTATCATTACCCGGCTTGAAAAATTGATTGGATTAGTTATTTTTAAAATTGAATCTGGTGTTATCAAAATTCAAAATATATGAGACAAGATTGAGTCACTATAATGCTTTAATTCGATATATCAATAATAACATATGTATAGTTATATTATGAAATGAAAAAGATTTAAAACTTAAATTAAGGTATATTTTATCATATATATTTTAAAATATATAATTTTATTATAAATATAATATAGTGTTACACATAATATTGTCTATTATAAAAAAAATTATTATTAATACATAATTATTCTAAAAATTTATATATTTAAAAAGATAAAGGACAAGTTAAGATAACTCGAATCATAATTCAAATCCATCCTAAATATATTAGATTTAATTTTAAGACCTCATTTTATCCTAATAAAAAGGAGCGGGATTAGTTTCCTAAATGGATCTCCCTTACCATACTCTCTCCTAAATAAAGCATAAGTGCACTGGTTAACACAATTTTTTTTTAATGAAAACATTTACGGTATATTTGATTTATTAATCAATGTCCATAGGACTGCTTAGTATTTTTAAAGTTTTTATTCACCACTCCATGAATGCTCACTTCTTTCAATATGTATTGAGATAATCACATGGACGCCGTTTAAGACGCTACCTAGTAGCAATTGGCTTAATACAAGCAATTTCTTGGACAACTCAACTACTCATAAATGAAAAGGTCGTTTAGAAAACAACCACTTTTGCATCATTTATGTCACTAATTTTTCAGGTCCTGCCAGTCCTCTTCGCCACTGGTTAAGAAGTCTATATCAAAATTTTTTTTAGGTTAATTCTTTTTGAAACTTTAAACAAGCTAGCGTATTTATTGTGTGCAGTAGTGACCGACCGGTTTGCATACCCTTATTTATGTGGAGATTGGAGTGGCTTTGCATCTTCCATTTTCATCTTAAAACGTCAATCACATTGTACGGGTGTTGACAACATAAAGAATTTTGTTTTCTGAAAAATTTTCAAAGTTGCTTCTTGTTTGGTAGATCTTTCTACTATGGCTGAAACTATAAAAGAAGAGCAAGTTTCATTGAAGCTTCTGGTGAACAAGAAGACCAACAAAGTGATATTGGCAGAGGCAGGGAAGGACTTTGTGGACGTTCTCTTCAGCTTCTTAACAATGCCTTTAGGAACCATTGCCAGGCTTGTGCAGAAGGACTCATATATGGGCCCAGTTCGTGTTGGTTGTCTAAGTTCATTGTATGAAAGTGTGACAAATGTTGTGAAGTGGACAGACACATGCAGTGAAATGCTGTTGCGTCCAAGGAACTCATCGGAAGATTATTGCAGGAGTTTGAAACTTAACATTGATGACACTGAACCTCCAAAGTACTTTATTTGTAACAAGTCTGAGTGCAAGCATGCTGAGTTGAGCACTTTTGAAAATAAAAATTGCACCTGCTGGAGTCGTATGACCTATTCCGTTTTAGTCAAAAATGAGAAAGCAGACAAAGGATTTGTAAACAATGCTGCAACTTTCATCGTCACGGATGATCTGGTTGTCATTCCAAATGCAGTGGATAAAATTAGCATCGGTATTGTCTTACAGAATTTTGGAGTAAAAGATTTTAATTCATTACAGGAGTCGACTGTGCATGTCTCTAAGAAAAAGGTTATTTACTTATTATATATCATTGCAGTTCATATTCTTGAATTTCTACTTTTGATATATTGTGTACTTACAATCTCTATCCCTATGGTTATAAGACTTATACTAGTACACAGGGTTGAACTGGTGTTTCTAGCATCTATTCCAACAATTGGTTGTTCACTGTAACTTGCTTTACACAGTACACATATATCACTTGTAGATTTTTCATTTTTAATTCATTGATTAATTGGTTTCTCTATATATCGTTTTTTTACAGGTATTGGATCTGCTGAAATGTTCTTTATTGTCCAAGTCAACTACTCTGACAGATTTGTTCTTACTAAAGAAACCATCTCTGCAGAAATCAAGTTTTTCTCCTCCCATTGTTGAGATCAGTAGTACTATTCAAATCAAAGTGAAACTGGTTATGAGAAAATCAGATGGGAAATTATTGTTTGCTCAAGGGGATGAAGATTTTGTGGACTTTCTTTTTAGTTTTCTCCCTCTCCCTTTGGGGGGAGTAGTACGTATATTGGGAGGGTATTCATCTATAGGTAGCATTGATGAATTGTACAAGAGCATAGTTGGTTTCCATGAAAACAATTATTTGGTATCAAAGGAAGTGAAGGACAGACTTGTTGATCCCCGCCTTGCCCCAAAATTCAAATTAAGCAAGCAGATGTTACCACTACATGAACAACAGGCTTCAGAATACTATTGTTATTATAATCAACGTAATGGTTTTCCATTTTGCAAGCAAAGTCATAATTTATATATATGTAATGAACTTAGGCCGTTCAATGATGTGCATGAAACTTGTAAATTATTGAAATTAGTAGATCTCAAGCCATCTACAAGCATTCTTAAAGGATATATGCCAAGGGACCAGCAATGTTTATGGTTACAGATGACTTGGTTGTGGCACCGATGACACCAATTTCGGGTTTATCTTTACTCAACCGTTTAAATACAACTCCTAATGACTTGGAGGAAAAGGATGTTACCATTGGCATTAAGGAGGTTAGGAGGAGTCTAAAGCTATTGCTTCACTGCTTTATAATTAATGCCTTTATGAATTGTTATTAGGCTATATTTCTTGCAGATTATGTAGAAGTTACTCAGTTTACTATATAAGTTGCTTTGTGTTGTGCAGGGTCTTAACATATTGAAAGCATCTTTAACCTCAAACTCAGCTCTAACAAATGGTCTCAGTCACTTGTTACTTAAAGTTATGGAGCACAAAGGGTATGTTAACATTATGTGGCCATCGTTGTTAAATTTCTAGCTTCATTGTGTTAAGTTATTTTTGTTTTATGCTTTAGTTGATTGACATGTTAATGTCTCTATGTATTTATGTTCATAAGCGTACTTTTTTTTTCTTTTTTCCTGATTTAAACTATTAATTATCGTTAGGGAAAATACTTTTATTTCTGTGGATAACTAACTTTTTTTGTTTAGTCGAAGAAGTATAATAGTCATATAGTTAACTGAATATTGTCTAATATTAAAGGCCTATGTAACTTCTTATTAATCTTTTTATTTATGAAATTCTTTTTTTTTTTGTGGAGGATGAAATTATTAATTATTAAGTAAAGATTAAATATGCTTTATTTTTTAAGAAATCAAATATATTTACTTTTTCATTGAACATTAACATAGTAAGAAGATTTGATAGTTGTTTATTTGTATTGTCAAGCCTCCTTCGTACGTCTCCATGTAAAACCCTCGTTAGTTTTCAAGACTTTCAAAATCTCCATTCATAATTTATGAATAGATTTATTTAAGCCTGTATATAATAATAATTTTGCTTTATATGCATGAGTTGGTTGGAACAATTTTCTTCCTTATTCCCTAGTACTATTGATATTTGTAACCTCGGCTAAATCTTTGTATTTTGTATCTTTTAATATGTCATTCAAACTATGATTTTTATTTGCAGGGATATAACTACAAGTAGCGAAAAAAAGGCCATAAAGGAGGAAATGATATCTAAATGAATCAGAAAAAAAAAAAAAGAAAAAAAAAAGAAATATATGCCAAGCAAGATCGTGTTGCGACGCATAGGTGCATGATACATAGGGCGTTAGGTTTTGTCTAACGTGTTGAAGGTTTTAGTGGGGTTTTGGAGGCTCATTTTTAAGTGGAAAGGATTCTTGTTTGGTGGTTTGAAAGAGAGGGGAATAAAGAATAGGGAAAGGAACACCTAAACTGGCTTGCACATGTAATTCTTCTACGCCCTTTTCTTATATTTTGTTAATGAGATTTTCTTTTTCTTCTTTGGGGATAATGTTTTGATCTTTTTGGATTTCTAAACACTTTTAAGGGATCCTTTGCATCCGATTATGTAATTGTTCGGTTATTAACATGTCTTGTGTACCAAGGCTTTGATGGTTGGAAATGAGTATAAACTTTAAAGTAGGTTAAACTAGATTTGATTAGATAATATTTAGTTCAATTTAAAATTCAATTTGAGTTTAATATGATTTTTTTCTTTGTTTTAACTTGTTTTAGTTTATGCTTGCGAACATGCTAGTTTAATTATTTAACTTGTTTTTTCAAATCACATGCAAGAGCAAAATTTTTTAACCTTGTACTTCTCAAAGTTTTGATTTATTATTAGATTATATATATTTTATGGTATTTGTCTGAGAGGGTTATTTTTATGAGGTTATTACACAAGCATACTCCACAATTATGAGATATTGTCCGCTTTAAGCCTATGCCTTCACGGTTTTTCTTTTGATCATCACTCAAAAGGCTTCTCAATCATTGAAGTATGCTTTGTGTTTATATAAATTATTATTTCTTGTTTTATTTTATCGATGTGAGACTTGTTTGTATCCTAATATATATATATATATATATATATATATATA